TTATCAAAAAAGCACAAAAGCGTCTCCACTCCCTCAGGAGACTCAGAAAAGCAGGACTCTCCACACTTCACCACACAACTTTTTACAGAGGCACCACTGAAAACACCCTGACACAAAGTTTTACAGCTTGGTTTGGCAGCTGCAAGTCCTACAAGAAGCGTCAACTTAATAGGATTGTTAAGACTGCCATGAGGATTGTTGGTGCCCCTCTCTCATCTCTGGAGGAGATCTACAAACAGCGCTGCATACGCATAGCTATCTCCATCATCAGAGACCCCCACCACCCCTCGCATGGCCTGTTCTCCCTCCTGCTGTCTGGCAAGAGGTACAGGAGCATCAGCTGCAGAACCACCAGGATGCTGGAAGGGTTCTTTGCACAAGCCGTGAGAATGATAAACGGACTCTGCCCCCATCCCACCCACACGGCCATTCACACAGCTACACTGTGATGTCCACAAACGGACTGTAATGCCCCCTACCTACACACGCACACACACGTACACACATACAATACACTCCCCAGATACACACACGGCCTAATTTAATCATCCCCTTCCGTGAAACTGGGTTAGGGTTAGGGTGCTATCCGCCTGAATGAATGTGACTTGAGTTTGTTTTAGAATTGAGATTTTATGTTATTTATCCATAACTATTGTTGCAATTCATTACTGCCTTTTTACTGCTCTTTTTAAACATATTCTTTTTAAACTGCATTTTTTATTGGACTGTAGAGGCTGGTGAGAAACAGTATTTTGTTTCAGGCTGGGTAACACCATACGAAATGACAATAAACTTCTTCTTGAGTCTTATTGAGTATTATATGAGTCAAACTAATAATAATACTAGAACTTAACATCCTTTCAATATAATATAAGAAATCACAAATACAAAAATAAACACAAAACGCTGGGTCACAGACTCAGCTCCTGACAAAATCCCCCAGCGGCCTTGACGAATTGCAGCGTAACTAACAGAGGATTCAGGGTCAGCTGATCCAGGACTAACTGTATGTTTTATCAAAAAATAAAGTTTTAAGTCTAATCTTGATGGTAGAGATAGTGTCTGTCTCCTGAATCCAAACTGGGAGCTGCTTCCACAGAAGAGGGGCCTGAAAGCTGAAGGCTCTGCCTCCTATTCTACTTTTAAATCTATTGAGAGCATGTAACCAACACTTCTCTTTAAAGTTAGTCTTCAACCAGTGCAGTGAAACTGGCTGCCAAACTGACGGCTTGCTTGCCATCCAGAAAGCTGGAGAAACTTCGTTCGTTTTTATGTTTCCATCTGGGATTTCAGCAAAAGCTTTTGCATATTAATGCGCTCTGATATGTGCTCTGACATTAGCGGCATAAACTGAAATTGACTGAAGGTGGAGGGGAGAATTTGTTGAAGAAAACCTGCCAGAGAGCAGGTTAAGATCACAGATTGTGTTACCTTGGTAACTGGCACAGGGTTTAAGCGAGATATCTTTGTCAGGAAAAAAAACGGACCCTGAGCATTAAAAGTCAAACCTCGGATATATATTTCATTTTTTTGTTGTTATTGAAAACAATAAAATGTGGTTTAGAACTAGAAGATTTAGATTTACAGACTTCAAAACTTGGCAAGAACAGAGTTTTGTTTTGTTTTTAAGTAAAGGATTTAAAGCTGCTTTTATCGGCTTCCTTATTAACAAGGAGTCGCCACAGTGGGTAGCTCCATGTGTTTGACCTGAATAGATACATAAATAGCTACAGGTCAAATCTGATTCTAGAACACACTGAATGTCTATGAAAAAATGTGTTTTTGTGTCTTTTGGTACTTTAGGAAAGGTCATAAAATTTCAGAATAAAAAAATTAAACTATTTTTTACT